TCCCTAGGGTTCCCCATGGATTCTCTAGGGTTCCCTATAGATTCCTTAGGATTCCCGATGGATTCCCTAGGGTTCCCTATGGTTGCTGGAGCCTCGCTGGTGCTCCCTCGCGTTTGCGTGGTCGACTCCAGTGCGGAGGTGGAAGGGTCGTACTGGAATCCGTATTCCTAGGTATTACGAAGCCGGAGGGGTTTCCCGTTTCCCGTTTCCCGCCCCCCCCCCCCCATGGGGCCTCCAGCTAAGGTCCGTACAAGTGGGGAGGGACAGCAAGGTAGAATGGGGCCTCCAGGTAGCGCCCTTACCTTGTTGTTGTTGTTGTTATTGATGATGTTGTTGTTATTGTTGTTGTTGTTGTTGTAGTTCGGGGCCCAACAGCGCATTTCTGAGCACGAGTATTTCCTTTGATAAGAGCACAGGATGCGAGCCCCGAGACGGGCATTTCAGTTGAAAAACGTAATAGGCACCAGTGAGGGGGTCCACACTAGTTATTCCTTAGAAGTGAGAGCTCAGCAACAACGGCAACAGCAGCAATAACACTAATCAGTTTGAGACTGTTCGGTCTTACCTGCTCGCGTGCCATTCAACACGTGTATCCCAAACGTTTCTTTGCCTGCCTTTCTTGATTTTCGATCGCGCGGTGATCTATCTGCCGTACCCGCCGCTTGAAATCGGTGCAGTCCCCCACAAAAGGGGAAGAGAGGACGGATGGAACGGGGATGGGTAAAGGATGTAGAACGGGATTAACAGGATAGGGGGCTATGAGCAGAAAACACGTGGCAGAACCAGACGGGCAGATCGGGCGGGCAGACCCTAACAGGCGGGTCGGGAAGGCGGGCCCAAACGGCCAGGTCGAGCAGGCGGGTTGCTGAAGCGTGAGTGCTGCGGGAGTTGCGAGGAGGGCTCGAACGATAGCGCGATTCCCAAGTGAATCGCGAGAGAAACAAGGGCGATAGCGCGATTCCTGAGCGTCGAGGGCGCGGCGTTTGAACAAGTTTGAGCGGAAATGCCACGCGAGAGCGCGATTCCGGCATAACGTATCAGGAAGTCCAGCGCGAGCTGGTTGCTGGCCCAGCCTGTTGGGCGCTTGGGCCTTCCCGCGTCCGCTGGGCCGCACTTGCAACAAAGCCTGTCATCACCGGCCTCTCGACGAACACCTGGATGCCGCCCGCCCGCGCGGGCCCGATCGCCGCTCCTCCTCCCGCACTGGCACGACTTGGTCTACGCTCCCTGCGCTTGCAGCCCCTCGACATGGCCGTGATGCCGTTCCGCGCTCACTGCCAGACTGCTCCAACACAGGCTGGCCGCTCCGGCCACTCCAGTCGAATGCTTTCGTTGGGGGAACAAAAATAAACACACAAACTCGGAGGTCCGCGCGAATTTCTCGGATCGGTGCTGGGGCCCCCTCCCTGGCGCGCGGTTCCGCGCGGACCTCCGCGCGCCAGGGAGGGGGGTCCAGCGCCGATCCGAGAAATCCGCGCGGGCCCTCGAGTTTTTATGCTCATGCCACTTCTTTTGTTCCCCTATTCGTGCTGTGAGTGCCCCGGATTTTTGTTCCCCGGCCTCCAGCGGTCGCTGTCACGGCCCCCGCCCCCCGCGCCGTGGCCGCGGGGCAGCGGGTGCGTGCCCGAGCGCGGGCGCAGATCGCCGCGGCCGCGGCCGCGGCGAGGGAAGTCGGGATGTCCCGCGTCATAACCCGATGCAGGAGGGAACGAAGCACACAGACACAATGAATCGTCGACTCCCAGGAAGATATGCAAAGATATGGGAAGTGGTGGGGAAGACAAAACCCCAGAAGATATGGGAAAATATGGGGGATATTTTTATTCGTGTGTATTTATTTGTGTGTTCCAGTTCCCCTTCACCGATGTCGACATGACTTGTGAGGGGACGTGTCCAGCGTGAGCCGCTGTTGTGGTAAGTCGGGGGCCAGGGGCGCTGTTTGGCGACCCCATCCCTTCGTGTCTGGTCTTCAGAGAAGAGGGCGCGAGCCCCAGGCGGAGCCTGTGAATTGAAAACGAGATGGTCACCAGGCAGGGGGGATCAACAACAACAGCAATCGTTGTAAGACTGTTCGATTTGATCTGCGCGCGGGCCAGTGAACATTCGTCTGCCCTCGATGCCCGCCCTCTTCGTCTTCGATCGTGCCCCCTTGTGTGTGTGTGTGTGTAATGTATTCAGATATCTTATCTGCAACGTGTATTTCGCGCAGCTCCTAAGGCAGGGAGAGAGAGGACGGATGCAAGGAAGGGACAGGGGGGAGGGAGGAGGATGAAGCACGAGAGAGAGAGAGAGTAGCAGGACAGGCAGATGGGCAGAACCAGACGGGCAGAGCGAGAAACCACGTGGCAGAACCAGACGGGCAGATCGGGTGGGCAAGCCCTAGCGGGCCGTTCTGGAAGGCGGGCCCAGTGGCCAGGTCAAACAGGCGGGTTGCTGAATCGTGCGTCATGCACGAATCGCGCGGAAGTCACGGACGATTGCGCGAGTCCCAGGTAAATCATTCCAAAGCCAAAGCGAAGGTGCGATTCTTGAGTTTCGAGGGCGAGGCGTTTGAACCAATGGCGAATAAATCCATTGCGAGAGCGCGATTCCTGCATACATTGTGAGGAAGGCCCGCGCGAGAGCGCGATATTGGACTACACAGTGGGGAAGTATCAGGCGGGAGCCGTTGTTGTTGTAGCGGGGGCGCCAGGGGCCCAGTTTGAGCATGAACATTTTTTATGTTGGAGAACAGGGTGCGAACCCCGAGGGGGGAACTTCAATTGAACAACACAATGCGCACTGGTTGGCGGGCATCACAAATTGTTGTTCTTCGGGAGTGCGATTTCCACGACAACGACGACTACAACGACGACGACAATCACAACAAACATAAGTTTAAGACTGTTCGCTCTCACCTGCTCGCATGCCGTTCCACACGTCTATCACAAACTCTCGGTACCCGCCCTATACGTCTTCGATTGTAACCCCCTTGGGGCTATATCTTCCCAACTGGCGCAATCATTACAACCGGGGAAGAGAGGACGGATGGAACGGGGAGGGAGAATGATGGAGCACGACAGGGATTTGAAGGAGGGGGTTAGGACCAGAAAACACGTGGCAGAACCAGATGGGCAGATCGGGTTTGGTAGACCCTGATGGGCGGGTCGGGGAGGCGGGCCCAGGCGGCCAGGGCGAGATCGTGATTCCGAGTGAGTCCTAAGGGTGGAAGGCGCGACGCCTGAATCAATTGCGAGGAAGGTCCACGCGAGAGCGCGATTCTTGCACACATTCTGAGGAAGTCTGTCGTGAGAGCGCGCACTTGGCATACACAGTGAGGAAGTATCAAGCGGGAGCCGTTGTTGTTGTTGTCGTCGTCGTCGTCGTCGTCGTCGTCGTCGTTGTTGTTGTTGTTGTTGTTGTTGTTGTTGTTGTTGTTGTTGTTGATGCTATTGTTGTTGTTGTTCTTGTAACTCGGGGGCCAGGGGCCCAGTTTGGAGACCCCTCGCCTTCCCTGGTAAACAAACAGGGTTCGAGAATCAGGAGGATTTCTGTAATTGAGCAAATATAATGTGCTCCAGGGGGGATCAACAATAATCATTCTTTACACATGAGAATCCAACCCTCATTTTTAAGACTGTTGGCTCCTGTCTCCTCGCGTGCCAAGCCTCGGTGCCCGCGCTCTTCGTTTTCGATCGTAACCCCTTGGGGGCATATCTTCCGTACTTGCCACCTGCATTTCGCCAGAACCCGCGCCGTCACCAACGGAAGCCCGCCGCAGCCATTTTGGCTCAGGGCCCTCGCCCGCTAGGGCCTCGCGCGGGGGGGGGGGGCGGTAGGCGATGGCCGCGACGCTGGTGCTGCACCCAGCGGCGGGCAGCGGCAGCGGCGGCGCCCCATGCAGGGGCGGGGGTCAGACGCCCGCGCCGCTGCGGCTGGTGCCGGCGACGGGCAGCGGCACCCCTCTGCCAGGCCGGCCTCTCAGCCCGCTGCGCGCCCAGCCAACGCCGCTGGTGGTGGTGCCGGCGGCGGGCAGCGGCGGCCTTCTGCCAGGTCGGCATTGCAGCCCGTTGCGCGCCCAGCCAACGCCGCTGCTGGTGGTGCCGGCGGCGGGCAACGGCACTCCATCGCCAGGCTGGGCTTGCGCTCCGCAGCGCTCCCAGGGGCCAGAGGCTGGGGGCAGGTGGCCGACGGCTGCGCCTCTCCTGCTGCTGCCGGTCGCGGGCAGTTGCGCCCTATCGCCAGGGGAGGCTCACGCCCCACGGCGATCCGAGGAGCCCGAAGCCGGTGTCCCGCTTGCTGGCGGAGAGCCGACGGCTGCGCCGATGCTGTTGAGACCAATAGTGGGCAGCGGGGCCCCTTCGCCAGGGAGGGCTCACACCCCGCAGCGCTCTCCCGGGCCCGAGGCAAGGGCCCCGCTTGGCTGCGGAGGGCCGACGTCTGCGCCGCTGCTGCTGAGACCAACAGAGGGCAGCGGGGCCCCCTCGCCAGGGACTCACACCCCGCAGCGCTCTCCCGGGCCCGAGGCAAGGGCCCTGCTTTGGGGCGGAGAGCCGACGGCCGCGCCGCTGTTGCCGAGGCCAGTAGAGGGCACTGGGGCCCCCTCGCCAGGGAGGGCTCACACCCCGCAGCGCTCCCCCGGGCCCGAGGCAAGGGCCCTGCTTTGGGGCGGAGAGCCGACGACAGCGCCGCTGCTGCCGAGGCCAGTAGAGGGCACTGGGGCCCCCTCGCCAGGGAGGGCTCACACCCCGCAGCGCTCCCCCGTGCCCGAGGCAAGGGCCTTGCTTGGGGTCGCAGAGCCGACGGCCGCGCCGCTGTTGCCGAGGCCAGTAGAGGGCACTGGGGCCCCCTCGCCAGGGAGGGCTCACACCCCGCAGCGCTCCCCCGGGCCCGAGGCAAGGGCCTTGCTTGGGGTCGCAGAGCCGACGGCCGGGCCGCTTCTGCCGAGACCAATACAGGGCACTGGGGCCCCCTCGCCAGGGAGGGCTCGCACCCCGCAGCGCTCGCCCGTGCCCGAGGCAATGGTCCCGCTTGAAGGCGGAGGGCTGGCGGCTGCGCCGCTGCGGCGGGTGTCGGTCGCGGGCAGGGGCCCCCCCTTGCCTGGCCGGGCGCACACCCCGCAGCGCTCCCCCGGGCCCGAGGCAAGGGCCCCGCTCGGGGACGAGGGGCTGGCGGCCGCGCCGCTACCGCCGCTGGCGGAGGGCAGCAGCACCCACTGCTCGCCGAGCGTGGCTCGCAGCAGGCGGCGCGTCGAGGGGTCGCAGGCCATCCTGCGCATCTTGGAGTCCCTTGCGCAGCTGCAACCATCAGAGGCGGGCTGTGGTGCGCCCTCGCCCAGCCGGGCCTGCACCCCGCAGCGCGCCCAGGGGCCCGAGGCGGGCCCCCCGCCCGGGGGCGAGGCGCGGAGGGCCACGCCGCCGCTGCGGCCGGCGGCACGGACCAGCAGCGCCCAATCGCCGCCCCCGGCGGCAGCCAGCGGCGTCCCGCCAGAGGCGTGGCGGCACCACGTCGCCGGCGTGGCCGACGCCGCGGCGGCACGCTCGGCGGGCACGGACGGCGGGGCCGCGGCCACGCAGAGGCGCAGGTACGTGGGCACGGTGGCCGGGTCTTCGCTGCGGCCGCGGATGCTCTCAGCGCCGAGCCCCCCGCGGCCTGAGGCGCTTGCAGAGCTTGCCATGCTGCCCGCTGTCGAGCGGGTCGACCGCGTCGTGGAGGTGGCCTCCACTGCCAACCTGGGCGACCGCGTCGCCGCCCACGTCGCCCGGGCCCAGGCCCGTCTGCGGCAGTGGGAGGGCTCTCCTGCGGTTGCAGAAGAAGTTCTGCAGCCGCGTATCTCGACTGCCGACATTGCAGCGCCTGCTGCCACCTCGATCGCAGCGAACCCCGCCGTGGAGCTGGTGAGGGAGGTGGCGGTGCCGGAGGTGCAAGTCGTCGAGAAGCCCGTGAAGAAGCCGGTGGTACAGCCAGTCGAGCGGGTCGTCGACGTGCCGCAGGTGAGGTTTGAGGAGTGCCTGGTGGAGCAGCTTCGGCCCGAGGTGCACGAGATCGTGCGGCACGTGCCAGGCCCCAAGGAGGTGAGGTACATTGACCGGCACGTGCCGAGGCACGTTGTCAAGTACGTCGAGCGGGTCATCGACGTGCCGCAGGTCGTGTACGAGGAGCGACTGGTCGAGGTGCCTCAGGTGATCGAGCAGGAGATAGTGAAGCAGGTGCCCAGGCCCTGCGTGGAGTGGGTCGACCGCCACGTCCCCAAGCGCGTGGTCGAGTACGTAGAGAAGGTCGTGCATGTGCCCGAGCCCATCCTCCAGGAGACGCCAGTGGAGGTGCCGCAGGTAGTTACCGTGGAAGCCGTCACGGTCAGCCCGGTGCCCCAGGTGAGCGGCGCAGAAAGAGCAGGGTCGCGCGCAAGCTTCCAGCGTAAGCTCGCGCGTCAGCGCCCTCTTCTCCACGCGGTGAGCCACGCTGGCGGCCCGCCTGAGCCACCACGTACGGCCGCTGTGGCATCATGCGTCAGACCCTTTTTTCCCGTCGCTGAGGTGACGGCGGTGCCGAAGGAGCTGCCGAGATACCACCTGAGCGTCCAGGAGACCATCCAGGAGGTGCCCGTTCTGCTGCGCGGCGAGCGCTCCCCCGCGGACGTGCCGGCAGCTGTGTGGCCCTCGGCGGCGCCGCGCGTGGGAGCTCCTCCGCCGTCGCCGCGGCCCCTGGCGGCCTTCCCGCCGCCGTTCTCCCCGCAGGTCGATGGCCAATACATGATCGCGTCGTTAAGAATTCATGACGAAGGTTTCTCATCGTTTTCGGCCTCTCGAGGCCCTCGCCGGGCCCCGGGACCGTCAAAAAACGACTCACGATGACAAACCGGCCCTGGGGAAAGGGTCGGGACTTCCAGGGACGCCGTCCTGCAAACATCAGGACGTCGCACGCCTGGGGGCCCAATCTTCCACTACTGCTATGCCACACGTGCAGGGCATGGGGGAGGGCAGGGAGGAGGATGGGCAGGCCCTCCTCCTCCTCCTCCTCCTCCTCCTCCTCCTCCTCGTGGTCCTCCCCCTGCCTCCTCCTGCCTCTGGTCGTGGTGGTGGACAAGATCGGCCCACCACAGGTGGCCCCAGCCGCGGCGCCCTTCCTCCCGCCGTCGCCGCCCTTCCCGGCGGCCAGGGCCCCCGCGCCGGGCCCGCCGCTGTCGCCGCCCTTCCCGGCGGCGGCGCGGTCGCCCACGCCGCCCTGGGGCGGGCCGCCGTCCCCGCGGGCGCCCGCGCCGCCTGAGGCGCCCGCGCCGCCCCGCGGAGCGGCGGCGGCGGCGGCCCTGAGCTTCGAGCGCGGCGCGGCGGCGGCGGCGCGCCCGCGCCAGCGCTCGCGGCTCAGGGCTGCGCCTTTGCCAACGGAGCCCGTGGAGTGACCGCGACGGGCGCACAAAGAGCCGGAGAGGCGAGCGCGGCGGCGGCCAGGGAGACGACGATCAGAGAGGGAAGAGGTACCCTATACCGCTGCGCTTCCCTCGTGTTCCACGTTTCTGGCCTCCTGGGAGGCCCTCGTCGCCACCGCTGGATTCGCCTCGAAATCCTGGTCAGAACGCACTCCGGGAGAAGTCCGGGGAGTAGCAGAATTGGTACCTATGGATTTCCCCAGACGACGACGACGACGACGACGACGACGACGACGACGACGACGACGACGACGACGACGACGACGACGACGACGACGGCGACGACGGCGACGGCGACGACGGCGACGGCGACGGCGACGGCGACGGCGACGGCGACGGCGACGGCGACGGCGGCGGCGACGGCGACGGCGACGGCGACGGCGACGGCGACGGCGACGGCGGCGGCGGCGGCGACGACGGCGGCGATGACGCCGTCCACGGCGACGGCGGCGGCGGCGACGACAGCGACGAGGACGCTGGCGGCAGTGCCCAGGAGATCGCGCGCGTGTTCTCCCTCAGCGTCGTCAGCACCGAGTCGGCGGCGACGGATTCCCGGGTCCCCACCGGCGCCCTGCTGTTGGAGCCCGCGCCGCCGAGGCCTCCGTCGAAGTCGTCGTCGCCGCCGCTGTCACCGCAGCTGCCGCCGTCGACGACTAGGGTCATTGCTGCAGTCGCGGCCGTCCGCGTCGTGGTTCCCCTCGTCGGCTCTGTCGTCGTGTTCTTCGCTGTTCTGGTCCTGGTCCTGGTCCTGGTCCTTGCTTCTGCGGTCATTGTTTGTGCCGCCACCGCCGCCGTCGCCGCCGCCGTCGTCCTCGTCGTCGTCGTCTTTCCCGTGGTTGTCCTCATCGTCGTCGTCGTCGTCGTCGTCGTCGTCGTCGTCGTCGCATTCGTCGTCGTCTTTGCCTTGATTTGTCCTCGTCGTCGGTATCAGCAGGGGGCGGGGAGGTGGGCGTGGGAAACCCCGTGGGAATACAGTGTTGTCCGCCCAGTCCAGGGCAGGGTGAGCCATCCGTGAAGCTATGCGGGATCGGCTGGGGGTTCCGGTGCACTCGGGGAAACCGAGCTTCCTTGCTGGGCTGCAGGCCATGCACTTTTCTCTTCGGGGCGCTGAACTCTTGTACGCAGGGGCCAGTGGAGGAGTGGAAAAGTCGCCGGAAGGGTCCAGCCCGCGGATGGCCGAAGCGTGTGGCCAGACGGCGCGTGCCGCGCCGACGCGTCGGAGAGCCCAGCTGCTGGTGGGGCTCTCCCGCATGCATGATCGCGTGGGCGCCATACGGACTGCCCGCTCCATGGGGCAGGGGGAGGGGTGGAGGGGGTGGGGAGGGGAGGGTGACGCGGAGGGGCGGCAGAAGGCTCCGTGTGACCACGTTCATTGGTCCTTGTGCTGGAGCCTGGTTCCGCGCAGCTCCGCGTCGCGCTTCCCTTCGCCCTCTTCTTCCCCTGGTCGCGGCCTCCTCTAGCCGCACCCGTGCCAGAAGTGGGGCGATGATTGGTGGCAGTTAGCTCCTGATGGACACGTTCAGCACGCCAACTCCTCCTCATCCTCCTCCGCTGCCTCGTCCTCCTCCTCCTCATCCTCCGCCTCCTCCTCCTCCTCCGCCTCCTCCTCCTCTTCCTCCTCCATTCCTTCTCCTCATAGATGATTTCTCCCTGTCGCACCCCGAGGCCAGTTCTTAAGGCGGGCTGGGATGATTCTGAAGCTTGAAAAGTGACAACCTTTTCACGGATTGAGGGCGGGTTGTTTTCCAAATGTGGCTCTCGCGTTAGCGCCGCGCACATTCGTTTTAAACATGCAAGAGTCACGGATTGAGGGCGGGTGGTTTTCAAAATGTGGCTCTCGCCTTAGCGCCGCGCACCTTTGTTTTAAACCTTTGCGAGAGCTTCACGGATTGAGGGCGGGTGGTTTTCAAAATGTGGCTCTCGCCTTAGCGCCGCGCACATTCGTTTTAAACAGTTGCAAGAGTTTTACGGGTGGAGGGCGTGTCGTTTTCAAAATGTGGCTCTCGCCTTTTCGCCGCGCGCATTCGTTTTATACATTTGCAAGAGCTTCACGGATTGAGGGCGGGTGGTTTTCAAAATGCGGCTCTCGCCTTAGCGCCGCGCACCTTTGTTTTAAACCTTTGCAAGAGCTTCACGGATTGAGGGCGGGTGGTTTTCAACATGTGGCTCTCGCGTTAGCGCCGCGCACATGTTTCCCTTACATATATATATATATATATATATATATATATCAACGTGCCACAAACCGTGATTTGGAGGGATTCAGGATTATGTGGGCGCAACGGTTATGTCGATTCGCTGTGTTGAAGTCCCACCATTGGCGTTCTGGCACGATTCTGGATCGCCAAGACGCAGCAGTCAGGTGGACACGTGGCGTTGAAATCCCGAGAACATTTGTTTAGCACGTTTAGGATCTTCAAACTGTTGTTTTCCAGCGAAGCAGTTCCCTCAATGGAAATGACCCGTTGTAGGGGCCTGTGAAGCGGGAGCTTGTAGGGAGGGTTAGTTCCAACATCGTTGATGACTCTTGGGTTTCCACTGGTCCTCCTCCTCCTCCTCCTCCTCCTCCTCCTCTCCTTCTCCTCCTCCTCCTCCTCCTCCTCTTCCTCCTCCTCCTCCTCCTGCTCCTCCTAGTCTTACAGCCCCTCCATAGGTTTAGGCACCCTCAATCCTGGATCATTCGACCTTGGGAGCGCCTCCGCAGGGCCAGGCGCCCACTCGCGCACTGCGGGCTCCACCGTCCCCTCCTGCTTTGGCTCCTCCCACTGGCTTTAACTTGGGCCTGTCCCTCTACAGGAGGAATGCGTATATTCGAAAAATATTTGTGGGACGATTCTTTGAATATTTGTTTTACTTTTGCTGAATCTGATTTGTATATGTTTTTCAGTTGTGGCTCACAATCCGCCTGTAGGGGGACGCGCCCGACCTAATGCTGGCTCTGTGGAATGCCAGGCCATTGCCCCCACGGCCCCAAGACCTCCTGCGACGTGCCAGAGGAGTGTCCCTCAGAGCTTGCGTGTGCATGCCGGAACGTTGTCGCACTTGCTCTCGCACGTGAGCGGCGCAAAGCAACAAAAGCAGCCGCGGGGCTGACCGCGCCGCCGCTCGCGCGCGCAAGCTGCCCGCGCAGGGTCGCGCGCAGGGGCGCCCGCCTCTTCAACGTGGTAGCGAGCGCGCCTCTCTGGCGGCCCGCGCGAGGCGGCTGCGCGAGGCCGCTGTGTCTTCTCGCGCAAGTTCTGGAAGGGAAAACACACAGACACAATCAATCGTCGATTCCCTCGAGGATATGGGAAACTATGGGATGTGGGGGTTGGGGGAGACAAAAAACCTAGAACATATGGGAACATCTGGTGGATCTTGTTATTTGTGTCTATTTACTTGTGCCTCCCAGGGCCCACTCACAAGTCCTGTTTTGAGTAGGGCCGAGGGTCAGAGAGCGCCTTCCCCTGCAGGACCACCAAAACAGGGACGTCAACAATGGTCAAACGCCTCGCCGGTTGAGGCGACGAAGCTGTGCAACATCCGACCGTTCGCTTTCGTTCAAGGTGTTGGCTTGACGCCGGAAGTGTGGTGCATCAGTTGTTCAGCTTGACCGAACAGGTGGGTTGCGCCCCTTGGCGTTCGCTTGGGTGTTCTGCAGACGTGGCCCCCCAGCCCGGGTTTCTTAACAAGCGTGGGGGGGGCGACACCCCCGCCGACAGCTCCACATCGACCCCCGTCGCGGGCAGCCACCGCGCGCCGGAGGCGCTCCGACCCCCGTCGGCGCGCGGCGACGAGGCGCAGTTGACCACCGTCGGGGGGGTACCCCCCACGCTTATTGCGAAACCCAGGGTATTCAAGTGACCAAGAAAAAACACAGGCCCAATCCCCAAATCGCGGATTCACCGAGGACTCAAACATCGGCCGAAGATCTCGGGGTACGGCCTGCGCTCCTTGGTCAAACCCCTGCCCCGAAATCTCCCCCCCCAGGAGTCTCTCGAGGACCCTGCGTCTCGCGTTGGCCCTCGCGCCTTCGGGGCCGGGCGCCTGCCCCGAGCTGGCGGGGTCAATGTCCTGCTGCCGCCGCGGCGCCCCCCGTGCTCCTCCGAGGCCGCCCGCACGTCGTCGGGCTTCCCTCGGGGGGGGGGGCGCGTGTGGAGCACACCGCGGCGCGGGGGGCCACGGAGCCCGCCCGTCGCTCGCCTCCGTGCGCCTCCCCGAGGCCGCCCGCTGTGTGGCCAGGCTCCCCTCGGGGGGGGCGGCGGGAGCACGCTCCGAGCGGGGGACCGCGGGCGCCCGGCGCCGCGGCTCAGAGAGTGGCGGGCCTGGCTTTCACCACCGCCACCAGACGTTGCAGGGGGGAAGGAGGAGGAGGAGGAGGAGGAGGAGGAGGAGGAGGAGGAGGAGGAGGAGGAGGGGGAGGAGGACAAGAGGAAGAGGGGGGGAGAGGGGAGGGGGAAGGAGGGGGAGAGGAGGAGGAGGAGAAGGAGGAGGAGGAGGAGGAGGAGGAGGAGGAGCTGGAGGAGGAGAAGGAGGAGGAGGAGGAGGAGGAGAGGAGGACCCCCTCCCCCTCCAACTCATGGTGGTGGTGTTGGAGAACAGGCCCATCAGAGAAAGCCGTGTGCGCTGATCGGGGGCGTCCCAGAGGGGGGCGATGACTAGGGGGGGGGATAGCATGTCGTGGGCCATGATGTCTCTCCAAATTTCATGTCATGGCGCCTCTTCCTATTTCCTTGCGTCCCTGGCCCTCCCCCTGGCCCGCGCACATGCCGCCGGCCATGATTTGCGCCCGTCTCACTTGGGCGCCCCCCTCTTGGCCGCCCTCGAAGCTCGGGCGGCAAGCGCCGTGGCCCAGAGAAAGCCGAGTGCGCTGAGTACACGCGGTGCTGGAGTGGGGAGGACTCAGAAAGGCAGCTAGTTACAGTGGCGACCCATGCCAGGAAACGCCCTGCTTGTCTCCAGGGTGCCCTGGGCTTCTTGTGCTGTGGTGGTTTTCTGTGGAAAGCGTGACGTTCCCACACCAAAAAGTCAAGGGACGTCCTGGGGTCTCCGGGATGGGTTTCTTGTGGAAGGTTTCTTGTGGTCGAGCTTCCACTGCATCGGGCTGGGAGGATGGGTTTGGGAGAGGTGGCCAGAGCAGCCGCGCCATCGTGTATCTCGAGCTGTGCTTCTGACGCAGTCCTGCCCCGTATCCTCCCATCCCCATCCCCCCAACCCGACGGTTGTCTCTCTGGACGGCAGACGGGCGGACAGGAAGGCTTGGCCCTGCTCTGCCGACTCCTCCTCTGCCCCAGCCGTGCGCTGCCGCCCGAGCCCCACACCCCCGCAGGCCTGCGCCCGAGCCGGCGGCCCCGCGGCGCGAGCGCGAGGCGGCGCCCGAGGCGGCGGCCGCGGTGGTCCCCACAGAGGGCGCACCCCCGCCGGGGGCGCTGGCGCTGGGCGCCAGGCCCTCCAGACTTCCACCAGCCGCACACGGCGGCGGCGGCGGCGACAACGGCGACAACGGCGACAACGGCGACGGCGACGGCTGCCCGAGAGGGTGCGGCTTGCCGGGCTGCGCCGCGACCTGGAGCTCGAGGGCCTCACAGGCGTGGTGGTGGCGCCGAGGGGCGAGGGAAGGTGGCAGGCGCGCACCTCGGGGGCTCGCCGCCGTCCGTCGTCGTCGGCGCGCGGGTCCTCGGCGGCGGCGTCGTGGTGGTCGTGGTCGACGTCGACGTTTGTGGTGCTGGTCGTCGTCTGGGGGAGGGGAGGAGAAGGAGGAGGAGGAGGAGGAGGAAGAGGAGGAGGAGGAGGAGGGGGAGGAAGGAGGAGACGGAGGAGGAGAGGGCGGAGGGGAGGAAGGTGGTGGACGAGGAGGTAGGAGGAGGAGGGGGAGAGCAGGGGGGGGGAAGGATTCCCCATCCCCTCTCCCTCTCCTCCTCCTCCTCCCTCCTCCTCCTCCCTCCTCCTCCTCTCCTCCTCCTCCTCCTCCTCTCTCTGCCTCCCTATTCCTCCTCCTCCCTATTCCTCCTTCCTCCTCCTCCCTCCTCTCGTCCTTCTCATCCTCTCTTCCCCCCCCTCAGAATCACTCCTCCTCCTCACTCACTGCCCCACTCTTCCTCTTTCCTCCCTTCCCTCCTACCTCCTCCCTACTTCCTCCCTCCCTCATCCTCCTCCTCCTCCTCCTCCCTGCCCCATCCTCCCTAATCCCCTCCTCCCCCTTCGAGATCACCCCAGAAGCTTCTCCGAGGTCGGCCTGGCCACCCCGCCTCACGCTCGAGCTGCCCACTCCCGAGCTCCCTCGCCGCCCAGCCACCCCGCCTTCCTCTCCTGCGCCCTGTGCTGCTCGTGGCCGGCCTGGCCGCGCACCCGCAGCCGCAGGGCCCGCAGTCTTGCTCGGCCTCGGGCCGCGCCTCGGGCGGTGCTCCGTGCACTTCCTGGCTGCCGCCTCCCGGCAGCGCCCTCGGCCAGGCTGTCAGAGGGGCCCATTTTCCATCACCGCTACGGTGGGTGGACGAAAAGTGTCCACACGTGTCTCGCCAAGACCTAGAGTCATTCAAAGTGTGTCGGACCAACATGTATACCCCCTTCCCCTTATTTCAAAGTTGACGGGTTCAGGCGGTTGGCCAAAGGCTAGGGGAAACATGTGGACACTTCAACTTTGTGTTTGGGGGGGAGGAGGAGGAGGAGGAGGAGGAGGAGGAGGAGGAGGAGGAGGAGGAGGAGGAGGAGGAGGAGGAGGAGAGGAGGAGGAAGGAGGAGGAGGAGGAGGAGGAGAGGAGGAGGAGGAGGAGGAGGAGGAGGAGATGATGGAGGAGGAGGAGGAGGAAAAGTAGGAGGGGGAGGAGGAGGCGGAGGAGGAGGCGGTGGAGGAGGAGGAGGAGGAGGAGGAGGAGGAGGACGAGGGCGAGGAGGAGGAGGAGGACCTCCTCGTCCTCTCAGCTCCTCCGTCCTACATCTGGTAGTGGTGGTGGAAAATGTGCCCATCGCTTTCCACGCGGTCCGCTCCCACAAGAACTTCCCTTTTCCCGCCGCCGGCAGTGCCCGCGTCGGCGTGCGCGTTCCACGTCTGCCCCGAAGCGCGGCGAGGTCTCATCGCCGCTGCGGGGAGAAGGGTGTGTCGAAGTGGGCGAGCGGGCCCCTTCGCTCCACTTCTGCTCCTGCTTGTCCTTGTGATGTTGTCCGTCTTCTTTGTGCTATTATTATTATTATTATTATTATTATCATTATTATTATTATTATCATTATCATTATTATTATTATTCTCCTTATGTGTATTATTATTCTTCCTCTCGCCCCCCCGCCCCCTCGTCGTCGTCGTCGTCGTCGTTCTCCTCCGCCTCCTCCTCCTCCTCCTCCTCCTCCTCCTCCTCCTCCTCCCCCTCTTCTCGCTCTGCCTAGCCCCGCTAGCGTCCCTCCTTCACACTTCGTCTTCCGACAGGAGGACGGCGACAGATGACTGATGAGATAGAACGGACAGACGACACACAGACGACAGACACATTAGCGACACGCAGACAGACCGACGACAGCTGACGACGATGATGACGACCCAGACACGGCTGCCGACGACGATGAAGGCGCTGACGACGACGCCCTCTCTGGCGGTGCCTCCCCGCTCTTCGTGGGCGAGAAGCAATCTGTATCCGCGGCTTCGCGGGCCAGGTCCCTTGGCCGCGACCCCGCGGATACGGGGCGTTGTTGTTCGCGAGTGCCCCGCGCGGAGCGTGTCCGTGGACCGCGGATCCGCGGGGCCGCGCCCCGGAATCTGGACCGCCAGGGCGTGGATCTGGATGCGCTCGCCGCTCGCGAGCTCCCCTGCCGCGCGAGGTGCTCCTGGACGGGGGCGGCATGAAGCTGGCTAGGCGGCCGGCGGGGCCAGAACGCGTGCGGGGGGCCGGCGCCAGCGGCGGCGACGCAGCCGACGGCGGCACGGGCGGCGGCGGCGACGTGGGGCGGGGGGGAGGAGGAACGGGGGGAGGAGAGGGACGAGGGGCTGAAGCGGGAGGAGAGGTGGGAGCAGGAGGGAGGGCGGGAAGGCGGGAGGCGGGCGCGAGGAGGGCGGGAGGAGGGCGGGCCGGAGGAGGGGGAGGGCGGGAGGGGGACGACAGGAGGCGGGCGGGGGAGGGGGAGGCGGGAGGAGTACGGGGAGGAGGAGGAGGAGGAGGAGGAGGAGGAGGAGGAGGAGGAGGAGGAGGAGGAGGAGGGAGGAGGAGGAGCGGGAGGAAGAATGGAGGAAGAGGAGAGGAGGAGGAGGAGGAGGGGAGGAGAGGAAAAGTAGGAGGGGGAGGAGGAGGCGGAGGAGGAGGCGGTGGAGGAGGAGGAGAAGGAGGAGGAGGAGGAGGAGCAGGGTGAGGATGGGAGGGGGGGAGAGGGTGGAGGGCGGAGGAGGGGGAGGAAACGGAGGATGGAGCAGCGCGAGAGGCAGCGGACCCAAGATGATAACGATGGGGGGGGAGGAGAGGAGCAATTCGGAACTGATTTTATGTTTCCGATGGGATGAGGCATGTCTGAGTGCTGGACGTCGTTCTTCTTCCTCCTCCTCCTCCTCGTGCTTCTGCTCCTCGTCGTGCTGCTCCTGCTCCCTCTCACCCTGCTCCTCGTTCTCGTGCTCCTTCTCTTCGTTCTCATTGTCCTCCACCAACACTCCCCCCCTCCCGGCTTGCTACTGTTCTTCCCCTCCCCATCCCCTTCTCCCCCTCTTACTCCTTCCCTCCTCCTCCGTCACCGCCTCATCCCCCTCCCGCTCCCCTTCCGGCTTCACGGGTTCAGGGTCGTAGCGGCGGCCCGTATGAGTCCTTGATTGGCGGCAGGATTGATCATGCTTTCTTTTGTGCAGCGAATGTTGTACGGGGTCTCGCTTGTCTTCTGTTAGCCCGTGTGATCCCCAAACAGTGTGTTCTAGCAAACTGTGTAGTGCAATCTACGTGGTGCCATATCAGAATGAGGGAGCCGAACGGTCATTCACTGTTCCTGGGCGCGTGGCTGAAGTGAGGTTCTGCGGTACGGATCGTTGCTGTTGTTGTTGCTGTTGTTGTTGTTATTGCTGTTGTTGTTGCTGGTGTCGCTGCTGCTGCTGCTGCTGCTGTTGTTGTTGTTGTTGTTGTTGTTGTTGTTGTTGTTGTTGAACATTATTACTTCTAAAGAATAATTATTGTTGGGACCCCTGGTGCACGACCCCCCCGCCGCGCCTAGGCCGCAGCCTCATTTTCATCATTTTCGTGAGGAAGTCTCAGGCAAAACGGGTTGGTCCGGATCCGGTTGTGTTGTTACGATCGGTTTTCCCTTGCAAAAAATAAGCTAAAGTGGACATTTCTTGTTCTAACATAACCAAACTTCAAGAATCCCTTGCAAAAAATAAGGTAAAGTGGACATTCGCGCGCGCAAGACGAAATCCTTCCAAAACCTTAGTTTTCGTAGCGATTTTAACATAAAAACATCAAAAAACCAATGGTTTTTCAAAACAAATTGTCAAAATTTCATCCCGCGCGCTCTTGCGGATTCGTAGGAAACCCAACACTTTTTAAACATTTCTGTCAAACGGGCTTTTGCGAGCAACTTTTTCGAACTTCTGCAACAACGGTTGCGCACCTGCCAGGGCCATCATCCCTGTCAAATAATACCATGCGGGACACATTCGTTTTTTCTTCGCGCGCGCACGCCGTCGTCGTCGGCCGCGGGGCCCTGAATAGTAGCCACGGTCGTCCGCATGCCACGAAGTGAAGTGTCCGAACGTCATAGGGCGGGAAGCTGGGTGTGGGTGGTGGCGAAGAGTCGTTTGGAAATTTGGTAGAGCTTGAACCGGCCCCCCCACAAAGTGGGGGTATTGCCCGCCTCCTATGAAAACCCTGGCACTGGTGAGAACGGTGTGTCCCCACGTGCTAGTAATTGTTGTTGTTGTTGTTGTTATTGTTGTTGTTGTTGGTTGTTGGTTGTTGGTTGTTGGTTGTTGGTTGTTGGTGTTGTTGTTGTTGTTGTTGTTGTTGTTGTGATTGTTGGTTTTTGTTGTTGTTGTGGTTGATCTGTCATTATTGATCAATGAGCATTGTTGATCCCCCTTCCGGTGACCATTGTGTTTTTTCAAGTGAAGTGACTCCCCCAGGGCTCACCCTCTGTTTCTTTTCCAGGGAAAGCCACTACGCTTAAACTGCGCCCCTAGCCCCCGGATTACAAGAACAACCGCAATTATTCCAATAATGTTCGCTCCTACCGGCCCGCGTGTCATTCACTATGCATTTCCCAAGCCCTGGATACCCGCCCTCTTCGTCTTCGATCATGCCCCCTTGTGGTGGGTTATATTCTTTCTTGGCCACGTGTACTTGGAGAAACCCACAAACAGAGAAAGGAAAGGGAAGCGACAAAAAGAGAGGACGAAAGGATCGGATGAAGGGAGGGGTTGGAGGGGCAAGAGGGAGGGGCGACGATGATTTGCGCTGTGAGTTGCGATTCAGCTCGCGCCATGGCTTGCGCCAGCCATTCCAACACAGGTTATCAAAGGCTTCGCCATGCGTCACGCCATAAACAGCGCCATGTAACACCTCTGGTGCTGCTCGGCGAGGTGTTGGAGGCGAATGTGGTGCCCGATGCCATCCCCTAGAGCGCTGCAAGGCCAGGGTGGGTGAGAGGAACCAGCAGTGGCCGCGGGCTTCGTTGCTGCTGCACGACATGCGGCATTCACGGCGAGCGGGAAAGCCGCATAGTGTTAGCTGGCTTTGGCGCTGCCCAGCTAGAAGTGGGAGGCGAAACAGCAATCAGAGGCAGCGAGCTCTGGCACTTGCCTATGGGATTCGGCAATCGACACTGGGGCCCCGTTACATTAGCTATGACGCGGCGGTTACCGCGTGCGGGGTAACGACCTATGGCAGTGGACAGTGTCGTTGCCCAGCAGTCCCGTGGGAGGTGAAGTGGGAGCCCGATTTCATGAATCACAGCGCTGGGATTCGAACGTGCGGGAATCTTATATGAGTGATATACAGTAACGGAGCACCATTACCACAGCGCGCCGGGCGGGGCCTCTTTGGGCGCGTTCGGGGCCTCAGTGGGCAGCGGGGTGGGCTCAGTGGGCAGCGGGGTCGGGCCTCTGTGAGCGCGTTCGGGGCCTCTGTGGGCTGGGTTTGGGGCCTGAGTGGGCAGCGTGGCGGGGCCTCTGTGGGCGCGTTCGGAGCCTCGGTGGGCTGCGCCGAGGGCCTCAGTGGGCAGCGTGGCGGGGCCTCCGTGGGCGCGTTCGGGGCCTCTGCGGGCTGGTTTGGGTTCCTGAGAGGGCAATTTGGCGGGACCTCTGCGGGCGCCTTCGGCGCCTCTGTGGGCTGCGGCAGGGGCCTCTGCGGGCGGCGTGGCGGGGCTTCGCTGGGCGCGCCTGAAGCGGAACCGTTGTTGTTGTTGTTGTTGTCGTTGTTGTTGTTGTTGTTGTTGTTGTTGTTGTAGCCGGGAGCCCAGCGGCGCAGTTTGGCCCGGATGACTTCCCCTGTCAGATAAACAGGGTGCGAGCGTCGAGGGGCGCACTGTGATTGAGAAACAAACCGCGCCGGTGGGAGGGACCGACATAAATCATTCTTCAGGAATGAAAGTTCAACATCAGCTGACGTGCGAGGGAGAGGGAATCGGAAGGAGGGGGGCGGCCCGGGAGGAGGGAGGAGCAGGAAGGTAAGAGTGCGAACGCTCGAAGAAGTCCTAGGCGAAAGCGCCATTCCACAATGAAGTCTCGGGCGGCAGCCCACGACGGGCGGGCGATCCTCTGACGGGCGGGTCGGGCGGGTGGGACATTCAAACGGGATGTTTGAGTAGGGCGAGAGCGCGATTCCTAGGTGAAGTGCGACGGCGTCCTTGGCGCGAGTGTGGTGTCTGAGCGAAGATAACGCGATTTTTAAATAAATTGCGAACCAGTTGCAGGCGAGAGCGCAATTCAGCGGGAGCGCCGTTCTTGCATAATTTGTAAGGAAACCTCAGATGGGGAGGGGGGTCCTGACTAAATTGCGAGAAGTCACAGGCGGGAGCGCCGATCCTGAGTAAATTGGGAGGAAGTTTTAAGCGGGAGCTGGGGTCCTGAGTGAAGTTGGAGGAATTCTCAAGCGGGAGCCGTTGTTGTTGTAGCCCGGGGGAGCAACGACGCAGTTCGACCCGGATAAAATTGTGAGGAGGCCGCATCGGGAGCGCCGTTCCTGAAACAAATTGGAGGAAGTTTCAAACGTGAGGAGGGGGTCCTGAGTAAATATGGAGGAAGTCTCAGGCGGGAGTCGTTGTTGTTGTAGTCCCGGGGGCCAGGGGCGCAGTTTGACCAGGAAGATTTTCTTGTCAAAGAACAGGGTGCGAGCGTCGAGGGGCACACATCTTGAATCAGAAAAAACAATATGCACCGGTCAGGGGGATCAACAATAATTATTCTGCAGAAATGAAAATTCAACGGCTCCCGCTTTAGATTTCCTCGCAATTTAGCCCGGACCACCGCTCCCGCCCGAGACTTCCACGCATTTTATTCAGGAATCGCGCTCTCGCTTGGGGCCTCCCTACAATTTATTGAGGAATCGCTCTCTCGGCGCTCTGGAGTCGCGCTCTCGCCGGACACTTGTTTGCAATTTTCTCGAGAATCGTTTTCTTGCGTCGGAAATTTCCGCGATTTGCTGAAGCGCCGCGCTACCGACACTCAGGCACCGTCGCGCTCACGCTTATGACTCCCTCACAGTTTATATAGGGATGTGGAAATCGCTGCCCTTCGAGGCCCTGTTGCAGCCCTTCGTGGCCCCCCCGCTGCCCTTCGCGGCACCGTTGCAGCTCTTCGTTGCCCCGTGGCTGCCCTTCGTGGCCCCGTTGCAGCCCTTCGTGGCCCCATCGCTGCCCTTCGTGGCCCCGTTGCCGCACTTCGTGGCCCCATCGTTGCCCTACTTGGCCCCGTTGCAGCCCTTCGTTGCTCCATCGCGGCCCTACGTGGCCCCGTTGCAGCCCTTTGTTGCTCCCTCGCTGCCCTGCGTGGCCCCGTTGCAGCCCTTCGTGGCCCCCTCGCTGCCCTTTCGTGGCCCTGTTGCAGCCTTTCGTGGCCCCCTCGCTGCCCTTCGTGGCCCCGTCAGCCCTCCGTGGCCCCCTCGCTGCCCTTTGTGGCCCCGTTGCAGCTCTTCGTGGCCCCCTCGTTGCCTTTCGTGGCCCCATACGTGTATGCCCTTCGTGGACCCTGGTCGTTCGCGCCCGTCGTGGCCCTATATGCATGCGCTTTGTGGCCCCGCTGTCGCACTTCGCGGCCCCTTCGCTGCCTTTCGTGGCCCCGTTGCTGCCTTCAGTGGCTCCGTCCTTGTCCCCTGCGGCCCAATACACGTATGCCCTTTGTGGGCCCCGCTCGTTCGCGCCCGTCAGGGCCTCATATGCATGCCCTTCGTGGCCCCACTGTCGCCCTTTGTGGCCCCCTCGCTGTCCTACGTTGCCCCGTTGCTACCATCAGTGGCCCCGTCGTTGCCCTGTGGCCCCGTATGATTTGCCCTTCGTGGCCCCCGCTTGTTCGCGCCCGTCGTGGCTTCATACGCATGCCCTTCGTGGCCCCGGTGTCGCCCTTCGTGGCCCCCCCGCTGCCCTTCGTGGCCCCGCTGTCGCTCTCACTCTCGCTCTCACTCACGCTTTCGCTCGTCGCCGTCGTCGTCGTTGTCGTCGTCGTCGTCGTGGTCGGTCCCCTGTCCGTCCCTCTTGGGGTCGGGTTGCTGTTAGTCACCGCTGCCGCTGGCCGGGCCGACGGCCCGCGGCCGCCCCCCGCCTCTTGCCTGGGGCTGGCCTGCAGTGAAGAACGAGATACCCCACAAAAGGGGTACGATCGAAGACGAAGAGGGCGGGTATCGAGGGTTTGGGAAATACACGTCGGATGACACTCGAGCAGATAAGAGCGAACATGTGTCGATGCTGTTGTTGTGGTTGTTGTGGTGGTGGTTGTGTTGGTTGTCGTTGTTGCTGCTGCTGTTGTTGCTGCTGCTGTTGTTGTTGTTGTTGTTGATGCTGTTGTTGTTGTTGCTGTTGTTTGTAATGTGTTGCTTGTTGTGTGTTGTTTGTTGTTTGTTGTTCATTGTGTGTTATATGTTGTCGTCGTCCCCCCCGCGACCCGGCCCGCGACCCGCCCGCGACCCACCCGCGACCCATCCGCGACCCAACCCGCGACCCGCACACGACCCACCCGCGACCTTCCCGCCATGCACCCGCGACCCACCCGCGACCCGGCCCGCGACCCACCCGCGACCCACCCGCGACCCACCCGCGAACCACCCGCGAACCACCCCGCGAACCACTCACATAGCTTCAACGAAAACATCGGCGCCTGCGGCGAGCTCGTTGTATAATTTGCAAAGAATTCGGCGCCAGCGGCGGGCTTCTTCAGATCCTCGCAGACTGCCGACGTCCCCGCCGCCCCCTCACTCTTACCCGCAACTGCGGGGCGCTACGTGTCGAATTGCCTTTGGCCCATCCCGCCACCGTGCCTGGATTGTGGGTCAGAGTCCTCAGGGATGCTTCTTGAGGTCTCTTCGGGGCGCTCTCAGGGGCCTTCGGGGGACAGTTGTGAGGCCTCTTGGGGACAAGTTTGGAGCCTGAGGTCTCTTAGGCTGTTTTCCGTCCCTCTGAAGCCGTTTTGGGCCCCTCTTGGAGGCTTTTTGGGTCGTCTTGGGGCGATCTTGAGGGCCTCTTAAGCCGCCTTTGAGCGTCGGGAAGCCGACAAAAACGGTAAAGCCGACATCTTTCAACCACCGTCGGGAAGTCCATAATTCTTGTCTTTGGGGGCCCTGCTCGGAGGCCTCTTGGAGGCCTCTGGGGGCGTCTTGGGGAAACCGTCGTGGGCGTCATGCAGCCTTTTTGTCTTAGTATTGGGTCCTCTTGGGCCCGAACAGGTCACGCGATAGGGCGCGGGGAGCCCCAGGGGCCACGCGGCACGCGGTACGCCCTAAGAGATTTGGCACTCTTGGGTCCGCGCCCTGCGAAAATCTTCAATCCTGAGGCTTGAAGGGATTTGGCCAAGGACCTGAGGACACTCCAACTCGTGCCTCAATGGCACGGTGGCGGATATGGCGCCTTCTATTTGGTTTAAGCCATGTTGCGTGGGGCAATCTATGTGGTGTAAATGATTTCTGTTCGCAGTGTGGTGTCCACTCCACTGCTCGCGCAAGCATCCCACCCACCCACCCGCAACTTGTTTCGCAAAACCCATGCGGCGGCGATTGCGACGAGTGTTTGGAGTTGGCTGGTGCATCTCTGCGGCTGCGCTGCCCCGCGCATGCTCGCGCGCGCAGCGGCCAGCTAGTTTGCCGCGTCGCCGCGGTGGCGCTGACCGCTGGGCTCTTCCCAGCGGACACTTCAGTGCAAGTCGGCGACTTGGGCGGGCGCGGCATCATGGCAGCGCCAAAAAGGAAGACGCGAGGATGATAGTAGCGATGCAGGTGACGATGATGATGGTAACGCTAGGGGAACGAACAATGACATAGACGCAACAACTCGGAGGTCCGCGCGGATTTCTCGGGTCCGCGCTGGACCCCCCGCCCTGGCGCGCGGAGCGCGGCAGGGGCGGCGCCTGAGGCGCCGCCAGGAGGGTCCAGCGCCGATCCGGAGAACCCGCGCGGATCTCATAGTTTATTCCCTTAAGCGCTTATCAAAACGCTTATCACAGTCCCATCCCCGCAACATATCTGCACGTCTTCCTACCCATTGCGGGAAGCTCCCCACCACGAGTGACGAGCCCAGGCGGGCATGTCACTCTGGCCAGACCCCGCTGCGTTACGGGTCCATGTTTTCCATCCATACACTAAGAGAAAGCAGAGAAAGCGCAAAGAGGCATGATGATGCAACCAATGATGTCTCCAGCGGTACACGCTGGTCGTTGACAGTTGGCATTTCTGAACTCCTAGGTCCCAATCTACTTCAAGCGCCTTCCTGCTTCAAGAGTCGGTTTGTTTTCGTTGCGTTATGTTGTTACCTGGGAGGACCTGAACCCAATCTTCTTTCGCCGCCTTCCTACTTTATGGTTTTACCTACTTCGTCCGACTGACGTGTAAGTATCAACAACTCAACGTTCCCGTCAAACATTGTGGCAGCTACCTGCGAGAGCCCCATTTTGAAAGGGACCGCCCTTCATCCGCGTCATTGTTCCACCATGTGTAGTTTCGGGTCGTAGAATTCAGCAGGCATCCGAAGCGACAGCGGCATTTGGAAAAGGAGCGGTTCCCATCCATCTTTGCAGCTGCTCGAAGCTTCAAAGAACGAATGTGCGCGGAGCAAAGGCGAATGCTGTTGTTCTCTTGAGAATGCGCGGCGCTGGAGAGAAAAAGAGAGAGAGAGAGAGAGAAAGAGCTGCATTGTGCGCGGCGCGGGGGCGCTAAGGCGGATGCCGCATGCTGGAAACAGATCGGCCCTCCGCTCCGTGCACCTCCTGGAAGTCTGGTCTGGCCCCCTGGAGGAACTTCGCGGCGCGACGTGGCCCTGGGCCCTCTCCGCTCCACAAGGGGGGCGGCGCGGCCGCTGATCTCCCTGGCCCCGCCCGGCAGGCGTGCGTACCTGGAGCCGTGGGCGGGGGAGGCCAAGAGGCGCGGCGGTGCCGGCGTCGTCGCGGGGCCGCAGGAGACGGGCGTCGGTCTTCGATGGCCTCGTCGTCGTTTTCGTCGTCATCGTCGTCGTCGTCGTCGCCATCCTAGAGGGTTTCGTCGTCGCCGCCGTCGTCGGCGCCACTGCTTTCGTAGTCGTCTTTGGGTGTGGTCGAGTATCAGGGGCGGTGGAGGTCGTCGTCGTTTCCGGAGGTGGCGGAACAGAGAAAGGGGGTCGGATGCGAGTTGCTGGAGGTTCCATGTGCCCCGGTTGGTGCTTGCACTGCCAAGGTTGTCGCTTGGTCTGCGCACTTGGGCGCATCGCTGGTGCCTCGTTCGTTTGCTGGGTTCTTCGGGGATTTTCGCCCGGCCGCCCGTGGGTGCCTCGCGGGCGCCTTGTGCGTCGGCCGGGTTCTCCGGCGGGGGTTCTTCGCTCAATGGGCGCCCTGCGGACGCCTCGTGCATTGGCTGCGCTCTCCGTGCTCTTTGCCTCTTGGGCGCCTCTTGGGCGCCTCTTGGCCGGCATGTCTGGTTGAATCTGATACGCTGCACCACGCAGACGGCTCCAGCAAGCGTGCACCCCCCTAGTCTGCACCACATGCGTTGTGCCCCGTAGAACGCACTTGCACCCCGTAGCTTAAATCCCATAGCTTGCACTTCTTAGCTTGCACCACATTGGCTGCAACGCGTAGGTCGCACCCTCTATATTCTCCTATCAAAAAGTCGACTCCACCATCCTCCCCACCCCGGTTGTACCAACCCCCCTCGGGACATTTCAGATTACACAATATTGCCTCATCGCTCATCTTCCATCTGAAACCAGACCATCCCAGCCCAGCCAGTATCGGTCTCCCTCGGGCATCCCTGTCAAGCAACCCCATCCCCGCACAGCCGTGTATTGCAAGAGGTAATGATCCAAGAACCCTCTTCAACTAGAACACAAGTCCCATACACAAGCGCACATGTCAGACTCGTACCAAGCACGTTCTTGTTGCACGCTACAGAACATGACAGCTTTTATCGCCAAAAGCGCTGCATGCTACCATCCTGCGTGCACGTGCTGGAAGCACAGGGAACCGCATGATTTGTGCAATCTCGTCCAGAACGCGATTTCTCATACTTCATGCGGTGCATCCTCGCAAGCGCCCAGGGCAAGGATCCGTTCCAAATGTACTACCATGCGGGCCACATGCGCGCTCCGCGACGCGCGCGCGTGCCGACTGGTTTTGTCGAAGTCCCAAGATGGAGCTTCTCAAACTCCAATGGCACACACCATGTCTTTTCAGCAAAGATGGTCTCACAGCCTTTATGGCATGTCTGCGTGCGTATTTCGACACCATCGCCTTCAGCAGCATCGTCGCATGATCGTCTTCGTCAATCGCCGCCATTGCCGCCATTGGCGTTCACTCATCATCCTCGTCATCGCCGTCACCAGCATCACCGCCGTCATTGGTCTTGTCGTGTTCATCGTCATCATCGCCACCACCATCCCAACACTACTATCATCTTCGTTGCAGCCGTCATCGACGCAATCATGACATCGCTCCTGCACGAGTTACCGACACGCACTGAAGTGGCCGCGCGCCAGCATGGCTTGTGAGACACTTTGGGCAACTCCCATCGGTAAGCGCCATCTCGTCCGCGCCAGTTGTGCCAAACCAGCTGGCCACTCTGCGCGCGAGCGTGCGCGGGCCAGCGCGGCCGCAGGAATGCGACAGGTAGTAGTGCCAAGCAGTCACCGCAATCGCGGCCGCATGGGTTTTGAAAAACAAGTTGCGGGTGGGAGGATGGGATGCTTACGCTACCAGCCGAATTGACAACCCATTGTTATTTGACCAAATACACCACATTTTTTGCACTACAGCTGGCGCCTCATTTTTTCTGCAGAAGATTCAGCCGAGGGTGGACTCAGCCTCCCTGCCTCCGCGCATTTGCTGTCCATACCTGTTGTTTCGGTGCAACCTTTTGCTTATACTGTTAGGGCACCTCTTCCCGACCCTGCCCCCATTTCGGCTCCATCATCCCGTCCAAATGTTGGAGCGCTGGTTTCAGGATTGCTGAGCCCTGGCACGCTCTTTGAGGTAGCCATTACGTCGTCAGTTGTTTTATTGTATTTTAACATACAGACATTTACATTCATACAGGGAATCAAGGAAAGAGATCGCGAGAAATAGGGAGAGAGAACACATAGAGAGGGAGAGAGACATGCAGGGAAAGAGAGAGAGAGAGAGAGAGAGACAAACAAAAGAGCGAGATAGGGGCAAAGAGACAGACACGTAACACTAGCGATACACGTATCTATATTGTGTATATATATATACGTACAGAGAGAGAGAGAGAGAGACAGACAACCAAGATGATGAGGATGAGGAGGGTGGATGATGATGATGATGATGATGATGATGATGATGATGATGATGATGATGATGATGATGATGATGATGATGATGATGATGATGATGATGATGATGATGATGATGATGATGATGATGATGGGGAAGACATAGATAGGATGAGGAGCAGGAGGAGGGAGGGAGGAGAAGGACGGTGTGGAGGAGGCAAGGGGCAAAAGAGGGGGGGAGAGAAGGAAGCAGACGTGGAGGAGGAGAGGAAGTGGAGGAGGAGGGAGGAAGTGAGCAGGAGGAGGCAGGAGGAGGAGGAGGAGGAGGAGGAGGAGGAAGGAGGAGAGGAGGCGGAGGAGGAGGAGGAGGAGGAGGAGGAGGAGGAGGAGGAGGAGGAGGAGGAGGAGGAGTGAGGGGAGGAGGAGGAGGAGGAGGAGGAGGAGGAGGAGGAGGAGGAGGAGGAGGGCCCAGGACACCCTGGAGCCCCAGCCGGCCCACGACTCCCGCGCGGGGCCCGCCCCGGAAGCGCCGGGCTCCGCCGCCCTCGCCGGCGCCTGGGTCTCCCAGGAAATCCCGCGCCTCCCTCCCAGCGCTGCTGCTGCGAATCCACCTCCTCGCCCCTCCTCGCTCCTCCTCGCCCCTCCTCCTCCTCGCCCCCCCTCCTCCCTCTCCTCCCCTTCTCCTCCTCCACGTATGCTTCGTTCTCTCCCCCCCCTTTTTGTTCCCTGCCTCCTCGGCATCAGCTTCCCCCTCCACTCCTCCTTCTGCTCCTCGTCCTGCCCATGTGTTTCTTCCCCAGCATCGTCCTCCCTTCTCACCCTCCCTGGTCCTCTCCTGCACTTAGCCGTTCTGGCTCAAGACGGAGCTTTCCCCCCGTCCCGACTCCAGAGGCTCGCGGCCGAGCTGGGAGGGGGCAGCCCCTTCCCAGGCCTGGCTGCCTCGGCCCAGCATCCAGTGAGCTCATGTAGGGGAGCAACCATTTTCGCTCCTGGTTGGGGCAGCCTCTCAGCCCTCGGCGTTGCGACTGGGCGGCAATGGAAAAGGGAGTGAGCAGTCTTGGTACCAGAAGCAGCAGTATGCCAAATGTCGGGCGCGCGGGCGGAAGTGTAGCCGGAAGAAGAGCACCGCGTGCCACAGTTGCTCGAGGCCCCTGCAGCCCGCCAGGCCTCAAGCGCGCCAGCCCAGCGGCGCACGGGGCCCTGGCGGGGCCAGCGAGCGCAGCCATGGCCGCCCGCGGGGCGGCAATGGGGGCGGCAATGGGGGCCAAGGGAGCTCCGCCGTCGCAGGAGGAGCTCCTGCGGCAGCTGCGCGCCACCCTCCCTGCCGTCGCCGACCGCGCCGCGCTCGAGCACGTCGACCAGCTGGCGATCGCCCGGGCGCCGCCCCCGCCGCCCGAGCACCCCGACGTGGCGCTCGACCAGGCGCGGGCACGGGCGCGGTGCGCCGAGGCCCGGCCCTCCAACGCTCCCTCGAGGCCGCCAGGGACGCGGAGGGCTGGCTGGACTGCCAGCGGCTCGAGAAGCCTTTTGGCGCCGGCGGCTGGGCAGAGTCCCCGCGCCGGCGAGGAAGCGGGACGGGGCTGCCGCTGAGCGGAGTGTGCGGCTCGAGGGACAGGCGCCCAGCCTCGGGGGGTCACGGAGGCCGGCCGTGAGGCGGAGGAGGCCTGCGGCGCCAGCGGGCCTGGCGGCGGCGGCGGCGGCGGCGGCGGCGGCGGCGGCCGAGGCCAGGCCAGCGGCCGCGCAGGTCGCGGCCAGCGACATCTCCCGGGCCGCTCTCCGAGGAGGTGGCGGCTATGGAGGTCCAGCCTGGGGCGATGTTCGCCCTGCAGGGGCTCGACGTCTCGGCCAGGGAGGAGGAGCAGCTCCGGGCGCAGGTCGCCAGCCTCGTCGGCCAGCCTGCAGGCGGACGTCCAGAGAAGCACCTCGCGGCCCCGCCGCCGAGTCCGTCAAGAGCACGCGCGAGGATCTCGGGAAGGTGCGCGACCGCCCCGAGGCCACGCGCCCCCGCTCCGCCGCGCCCGAGGACCTCGGCGCCCAGGCCGCGGCGGCCAAGGCGGCAGGGGGAGGAGGAGGGGCCGCCTCGCTGCCAAGGGAGCGCCGACGGGGCCCTTGAGCGGGCCGGTCACGGCACGCCCAGTTTGCTGTCCAGCCAGGGGCCCTTCTAGGCCGCGTCTTGGGGGGGGGTCGTCCCACCACCCGCAGTTCGTGGCGCCTCCCGCCGTCTGAGTCAGGCCTGTAGCCTTCGGGCGGGCTTGAACAGGCCTTCTGTCCGAGGTGTTGCGCGCTGTCTCCCTCTCTCTCTCTCTTGGCCACCCGTTTCCCGAAGTTGTCCCTCCTCGTTTTCCTCCCCGAGCCTCCTCGTCCTGCCCTCCCTGCCCCTCCTGTTCCTCCCGCTCCTTCAGCTTCTCCCGCTCCTTTTCGTTCTTGTACCCCAGGAAACCGGCGAGTGGATGGGCACCATATGCGGCGCCAAGCTCCAGTGGGCTGACGGGCCCGAGGCCCGGACAGGGATAACTGCCCCCCAAAATTGCCCTACTCTTTGTGTCGTTGTCGCCGCTAGCGGCAGCATCGTGTCGACGTCGCCGCCGCCGTCGTCATCGGTCGGTTCGCCGACGTCGTCGCCGTCGCCGTCGCGGTCGTCGTCGTCTTCGTCGTCGTCGTCGTCGTTGTCGTCGTCGTCGTTGTCGTCCGTCTGTTCGTCGCCGCCGCCGTGGTCTTCGTCGGAGTCGTCGATCCTCGGCCGCCGTCCTCCTCCCGGCCCAGAGCTTCAGGACGTCGTCGCTTCAGGTGTGCCTGCGGCCCCTCGGCGATGGCAGCTTCTCGTGCGAGCTGACCGCCGAGGGGGTCACGGAGAGCTTCTCCGCCAGCCTGCACGAGGACGACAGGCGCGCGCCGCACCGCCGCGGCCCCCGCCGCCGCGGCCCCCGCCGCCTGCCCCCCCCCCGCCGCCGCGCGGCCTCCGCCGCGCCGCGGTGCTCGGCGGCGAGCCCCGGGGGGGGGGGGGGGGAAGGCGACTTGCCGGCTGGCGGCGGTGCTCGGCGGCGAGCCCGGCCGGCGCCGAGGGGCGAGCCCGCGACGCCGAGCCCGGCGGCTCGAGGAGAAGGCCTTTTTTTGAGAAGGCCCGGGGAGGCGCCCCTTTGGCCTCCGAGGAGTGTCTTCCGTGTGAGCCCTCCCCGAGGGCGCAGGGGAGGTGTTTCGGGCGGCCGGAGCGCCTCCGAGAGAGGCCCCGCCGCCTTCTGAGGAGGCCTGCTCCTTCCCACTCCTGTCAAGCCTGGCAAGTTCCTCTTCAGGGGGGATATCCAAGAACAGGTAGGACGTAGTATATGGCGACGATTTCCCGTGCCATCTGGTCTACTTTTGATATTCGTTTTGATTAGTTTGCATTTTCTTCCAAATTACATCCGCCTGTAGGACGACATAGCAGATCTCCCAGGTTTGATGTTTCTGCGATTCTTCGATCCCCTGCACGACCTGCCCGGCCCCCCCCCCCCGCGCGCTCGCCTCCGAGCTGCGCCCGCCGCCGCCCACAGGGCGCCCTCCGCCGCCGCCTCTGAGGCCGCCGCGGAGGGGCCGCCGCCGCCCGGCCGGCAGGCTCGTGTGGAGCGACGGCGACGTGTGGGTCCGGGAGCGCCCCTGAGCGCTGCCGGCGGGGGGCCTTTGCTCTCGCGGCGGGCTGCCCCGCGGGCCCCCCGGGGCAGGCATCCCTCCCACCTGCTCCTCCTCTCCTCTTCCCCCCTCCTCTTCCTCCCTCCTCCTCCTCCTCCTCCTCCTCCTCCTCCTCCTCTCCTCCTCCTCCTCCTCCTCTCCTCCTCCCTCCGTGGCTATTTTGGCTCAAGTGCCAATCCCGCGCGCGCGCAGCTCTGGGACCCGAGCGGCGACTCTGCAAGCGCGGAGGCCATGGCATGATAGTCCGGGTCCTCTTCTCGTTCACGTTCATCTACGCTGCACTCGCGGTGATGCTCAACAACCCACTACGTCCTCGCGGTCGCCGTTCACTCGCCGCCCTGGATGCTCGCCGCCAAGGTGCGGTGGACAAAGGCTTCCTACACCCTCGTGCTGGCCCCGCATTGGCTTGCATCACGGTCCCAGCAGCCGTATCCCGCGAGGCGAAGATCCTCGCCAAGGCGTCCTACTACATTCCCCACTGCTGACAAGCGCGTCTCCTGGGCGGACGCCTACGACACCGTCTTCCCCGATCTGAACTCGCTGGCCGCGTCCTCCCCGCCCGAGACGGAGTGTGCTGTGGGGCCCGTGGAGCCCGGCTCCGGCACGCCACGCAGCTCAGCGACACCCTGCACGCCACGATTGACGAGAAGATCCTCACGCTCAAGAGCTTGCTCCTCTCCATGGTCGATCAGAAGCTCGACTGCAGGCTGCAGGCGTGCTTCACGCTGTGGTCCGAGTCCTTCAACACACAGCAATCCGCGATGCTCTCCAACGTCATGCAGTCCGCCGTCGCTTCCTTCTAAGAGCAGGTCATCACGGAGCTGATGGCGAATATCAGCGAGATCCAGCAGCAGGTCGTCGACACGCGTTCCGAGCTTGCCGCCTTGACGAAGATCCGCACGACGTCTGCACCGCCTCCCGCTCCTGAAGATCCACGCCGGAAGTTCGTAGAGATGCAGCGGCCCGGACCACCGCCGAGGAGCTGAAGATGCAGTTCCCTGCGCTGGCGCTCAAGATCAACAACATGCGGAGCGAGATCGTCGACAAGTTCGAGGAGCGTTGCCAAAGCATCGAGAGCGACGCGCTGGAGATGCAGCAGCAGATCGACTCCCTTGAGCAATACATACGGCGGCTTCAAGGCCACGAGGTGTTTCCTGACCTTCGGGGCGGCTCGTACCACTTGCAGAGCTTTACAAAAAATGGCCTCTGCGATAACGTTCGGAGCCCTGCGTGCAGGAACGGCTGCAAGGAGGTTCTGAATGCCATCCAGCTCTCCTCCCCGCTGATCACGAACAAGCCCGTGGACTCCGACACCAGGCTCACGCCGAGCGAGACTGTCGACCTGCTAGTGCCGAGACAGGCTGTCGAGATGGCGCTGCCGCCCGAGCCCGACGAGAAGACGCACACCGTTACGCCATCAACGAGTTCTGCTACCTGGAGCTCTGATTCGGCGCCTGCTGCGGCGTCTGCATCGACCGAGCAGCTGTCCTTCACCGTGATCGCTGAGCAGCTGGTGTGGGTCGAGCGTCAGTCCTTCAACACACAGCTCTCCGCGATGCTCAAGCCATCATCAACGATTTCGACTTCTGAGAACTAGTTTTTTGGGCGGGAGAAACATCATCTTGCCCTCTTCTCGCGCCGTGTCCGATGCTCTCTTCTCGTCATCTTTGAGGGTACCCATACTTCTCCCCTCCTCCCTCCGCCTCCCATTCCTCCCTCCTTCTCCCTCCTCGTCGTCCTCCTCCCTCTCCTCGTCCTTCTCCTCCTCCTCCTCCTCTTCCTCCCGACCTCCTCCTCCGCCAGGGCCTCGCGCCGACTGCGCGTAGGAGTAACCTCTCCCGGAAACTGAAGCATCTACATGACCAGTGGCGGGCTGTTTCGCACCCCCCCCGGGCTTTTTGAGGGTCGGGGGCGACGTTGGGGCGGTGTGGTGTATAGCTGTTTTATCCGTTTACAAGGGGAAGCAACGAAACATGTATACACCAGGATCCCGCATACACCAGGATCCACGTTCTTGTATGCGAGTCCCACTGCAGGGCCAGACAACGCGTCGGTGTATAGAGATCGGTTACCTACTTTCGCCGGAGCGGCTCCTGGGTGCGGGCCCCGTGGCCGCCGCGGTCGCCGGATGTGCGGTGCGATATGGCAGCGGCCTGTGCGCCTGGGCTTGCCGCCCCCCCCCCAAAGCCGCGCGCCAAAACCGCGCGCCCAGAAGGTCAGTCTGGCCCAAAGGGGAAAGGAAGGGAGATAGGATGATGGTGATGATGTTGATGCTGATGATCATGGCAGTGCTGATGACGATGGTGAAGGTGATGATGATGATGCTGATGATGATGATGACGATGATGATGATGATGATGATGATGATGATGATGATGATGATGCTGATGCTGATGCTGATGCTGATGCTGATGATGATGATGATGATGATGATGATGATGATGGTGATGGTGATGGTGATGGTGATGGTGATGGTGACGGTGATGATGGTAAGGAGGAGGAGGAGGAGGAGGAGGGGGAGGAGGAGGAGTAGGAGGAGGAGGCGGAGGGGTATGAGACTGTTTCGAATGGGTGGTGTGTGGGGGGGGGGGGAAGAGGAAGAGGAGGAAGAGGGGATGTGTTTGGAATGACGAAGGTGGAGCAGCACGAGACGGGGAGGAGGGGGAGGAGGTTGAGTAGAATGCTGCAGGAGGAGGAATAGAAAAAAAAACACCAGATGCGTCCCCAAAGCTTCAACTAGAGCAAAACAAGGAGGATCGGCAGGCCGAGGTGCAGGAGGATGCGCTGGGCAGGGAGCAGAAGCCACTGCATACACATAAACCTTCGGACTCAGCTCGGACTCCGCGGGAGGAATATCCAACGATAGTCCAACCATAGTCAGGGGACGATTTGTTCATACTCTTTTTGGTATTCCGCTTTATAAAAATATTAGAATGTTTCCTCTAACGCCCGCCTGCAAGGGGACATGCCCGACCGAACATAAGCTGGATACACATGGCGCGCCCAAACTTGGGCGAGAGTTGGACAAACGTACACGTGTGGCCAGATCTGGTTCCAGCGCTCCGCCTGCCCATGGCAATGCACGGTGGCCCTGAGCGCGTGCATCAAGCAAGCGGCCTCCTCATGCTCCACATGGGACTGCGACTTTAAACGGAGAAGGTTAAAGGCGAGGTATAAATCGAGCATGTACCGCTGCCGTGCCTGGCTCAAGCCGGGCCCGGCCAAATATGTGATTGTGCCTCACCGAGGCGCACGACTTGCATCAGAGATCGGAAAATACCTTTTCCATTGACGATGCCCATCCTATCCTTTACTCCAGATCCCATGCTTCGTCTTGCTCTCTTGCTCATGCGATATGAGCCAAAGCCTGGGATATGGCAACGCTTAAAGCGTAACACATACCTAAGCTTACCAGCTTGTTTTCGACTTGGTAGCGGAGCTGGCTACACTCTCGTGTGGCTGGCTCTCGCTCTGATTCCAGTAATCCACGGCACAACTTGGTGGACTACTACTACGGTGGAATACCATGTTGCGCCGGCTCTGCGAGGAGCGGAGCCAGTCCGCGATCGAGCTAGCGGGGCAACCCGCGAACTCGAGACGCTCTCTCCTACTTCACTGCGCACTTCACTCTCGACTTCCACCAGATGCCAATCGGCAACTCGATCGAGAACGTGGTCACCCTGCGGGGCTACCCGCAGCGGGGCCACCTGCATCCCGTGCCAGTCAGGCGCCTCACGGCTACTACGCCAGAGCCTGACAAACCACAGCCTAAACCAATCACCGAAGCCGAAATGCACATGCACTGGATTAAGATAACTATCTTCGGCATTCTGTGGGTAATAATGGGATGTGCTGTGGGATACATGCGGCAGGGGATGGACGACACGCGTACTACTGGCCCTTCATGGGACCCTGCCGGTACTACGCCTTTTCGCGAATATGTTCGCGAAGTACATGCATGGTTAAACGTAACGAGCGGCAATATGACACCACCACAACAAGCTGCAGCACTACAACGAGGCCTTCAAGGTCTTGCTCGTCGTATCGCCATGCAGGTCCCCTCCCAGATCATCAATTATGGTGTAACTGTCAATGGACAGCCAACGGATGCAGTAACATATATACTGTACTTACTGAGCACCAAATTTGAAAATCTGGAAGATGAGCGCCAGCTCAACTCTGGCACTGCCCTTATCGACTTTCGCGTCGAAAGGGGCGAGCGAATCGACTCAGTGTTAGCTCGATTCGAGATGGCCCGTGACGAGGCTAACTCTGTTGGATTTGTCATCCCCAACTTTCAGATCCTAACGCTGATCCTTTTCAGAGCGTTAGGCGTTGGCGCGTCACGAGCCCAACACCTGCTGGAGCCCTTTAATCATCAGATGCCCCGAACACAAGCAGACTATGACAGGCTGCTGACCAGGATGAGGAACTACGGACATGTCGCCGAGCGCTCTCCTGGCAACATAGCGGGTATCTTCACAGGGCACCACTCACATGCAGGTGTCTACGCACGACTGCGGGGTCACCCGCTGGTCCTGGCGAGCCAAATCCTTGGGCTGACCCAGCCGATATGCCCAACGAGGCCACTGCCCTTTTAGGGCAGACTGGCCAGGCATCGGCAGAGGCAGCTGAGGCGAACGCCTGGACGAACTACTCGCCAGGCGCCGCCTACACTGCGAGCCCGCCCTCGGGCACAACCCTCTGGGGCCAAGCGGAGTCATCCGCTCAAGGGTCTCAGCCACCCTCACCGTTTGAATCTGGCACTGACACAGATACTTCATCTGACGATGAGCACAATGGCATAGTCTCTGCTGGTAATGACTATCCAGCGGATGACACTCACCTTTCTGAACAACAAAGAGCGGAAGCCGCTTTTATGGCCTATCGCAAATCAAAACGCCGTTGGAGGCGCGTTATGAAGAAACCAGTCAGAAAAGTGAGACGTGCAGTACGCCGACATTTCAAACG